TACAAGATCTTATCGGTTCATGCAGGTAAACTGTCAAGTACATGTGCAAGTCACTACTTAAGACAAGTACTACTAAACTAAATGCTAACATACATAAACATTAAACTTCACATTAACATGAAAATCATAACGCGGCAACATGTATAAACTACATGCTAGGAAGCATCCTTATGAAAAAGTGGGATTGAACAGTTACATTTGTCAAAAAATAGAGGTTAAAGAAGAAATACATATAAATCCTTTATATGCTTCAGGAAGAGACAAAAGTAAAGTTAATAGAGAAGTTGAAAGATAATAACTGCATCCTTCGTCCATGCTCAGTTTGTTGCACCTTTAAAATGGGACTTGTTTTTAATGTGGACAACCTGCTTTCCACATCGTCGGAAGGATGCAAGCATCACCCGCTCGCCACCTGCACGTGTGAGAAGCACCTTCATCCTCTCTGTCTCCGGTCGCCTGCGATCGATCTCTCCCTATGTATCCGTCTCAAGAAATGGTGGCATTCTAGCAGTGACACATAAAAATCGGTGACAAATCAATGCTTGGAGGAGAAGGGAAAAAACGAGGTCGCGGAGAGGAGGATTCTTGCCAGCCGCCCGGCGAGAGGTGGAGTTGTGTGCGGAGGACGAGCATTGAAGATGAACATGTCCAGCAGTGGCTGCTAAGGCACAACAATATACCGGAGTAGTAAACATTTAGGCCCATTTTACTTCTGGCCATATTTCATGGAATCAGACGGGTCCTTTAATATGTACCAGGCTTGTTTCCCTCTTGTCTGCAAATAACTAACCAACGGTTACCCCTTGCGGGCGACCTCCTGGGGTCATTTTTGGTGGTCTGGGAGCGCATCAAGTGGTGTGTTTAGTCGCCACTACATGTTGCGTGCTGGATGCTTTCTCTGGATTTTTTATTTTTATTTTTTTGATGCATTTTTGGGTTTTAAATGGGTTTATTTTTCGGGGATTTTCAACTTTTTGGTTTTCGCCTATTTTCCCTAGGTTTTGGAGTTTTTTTTTTGCGCAGAAAAATATGTGCTGGCACGGGAAGCACTGATTTGCTTCACGTGGAAGCACTAATTTGCTTCCGCGAGAAGCGCATAGATTTGTTTCCGCGTTGTGCTTCTCCAAAAAAAAATCACAGCATATGCTTCCAAAAAAAAAAGTGAAAAAGCACAACCATGTTTCCAGGCTCCAGTTTTTTTCTTCCTTTTTGGTATTCATTTTTTTGCACTAACATGTTTTTGTCTTCTTTTTTTGGGGTTTTTTTTATCTTTCGGTATCGTTTTCTCACGAATTTCATTTTTTTCGTGAAAAAAGTCCATCGAAACCTATTAACATAGGATCTAGTTTCGAAGATCTCGACGCGAGAAATTCAACAATGAAAACGGTTCTATATCTGGATGCAGGGTTCAAGAGATAAAACGTTTAAAAAACGTAAAA